AAACAATAGACAAATTTCTCATCCTTTCTTTCTCCATGTGACCAAAGGTACCTTGGTACTCTACGGAACCATTGTGAAGTACTACAACGTTGTCTGTATGTTGGAGGAACTGTGATTGGTGTGTCACCAAATTAAAAATACGCACCCTCCCAGCTAGAAATCCGTCAATACATTTTTCAAACAAATGTTTGCCGACTTTGGCATCCACTGCACTGAGAGGATCATCTAGTAAGTACATATCAGCATCTGAGTAAATTGCACGTGCCAGACTCACTCGTGCACGCTGACCGCCACTCAGGATTACTCCACGTTGCCCTATCTCCGTGAGATCACGTTTTGGAAATCTTGATAGATCTTTTCCTAGGTCGCACACTTCGATGATCTTATTAAACTTTTCTGCCACGAAAGGCATACCAAATAGAACGTTCTCTCTCACCGTGCCAGAATAGACCCAAGGCGTTTGGGAGACGTAAGCCATTTTTCCAGTACAAGACATTTGACGAGATGATATTGGAATTTCTCCCAAGATGGTCATCAATAAAGATGTTTTGCCACTCCCTACTGGTCCAGTTATACCTATAACTTGTCCACTAGAAGCTTGCAATGAAACGTTTTGTAATGCTGGGCGATCTGACGAATAGTTCCACAAACTGGAAATGTTTTCGAGCACAGCTTGAGGTTGGACAGCTTGGAAGTCCTCAATCTTTTGAAGACTCATCAAGGCTGGTTTTTCTGGTTTGAAACTCTCTGTTCTAACTAAGTGTGGTTTATACCTCCTGCTTTTAAAATAAACTTTTAAAGGAGACATATTCTGTCGTTTGCTTAGTTTAGATTCGATGACTCGTTTCGTTTCCAACAATCTCTGCATTCTTCTTAATGCAATCATCGAGTCTGCAAACCATATTAGACTGTCTCCAAAGGTTGTTACAAAAAACTTGATATTCGCTAAAATTGAAAGCAGTGTGAATACCGTGAATGATGTCAGGCTGTGTTCCATGAAAACCAGTGTTGCAACTGATAGAAACCCTGCAATGGTGTGGCTAATGAAGAACAGGGGGTAGATAGTGGAGATAAAAAACCCACGTACACGAATCAGAGACGTTTCTTTTCTGCACAATAGTATTTTTGTTCGTAAGAGTTCAAGTAGTCAGATCGTCAACCTTCCTTTTAAAATTTTGAGCACACGGTGCTCTCGCATATAAAAGAGTTCATTTAAAAAAAACTGCTGTAATAATCTCTTGCGCTGATGCACTCTACCTTAATGAATGATGCGGGTAATTCACTTGAAACTTTTTTTTTCACACTAAACAGACCAAACACTGTCGTAATTTCATGTCAACTGGCTGGTTTATGACAGGATAGCATGAGCGTCATATTTACTTGCTACCCCGCTCAACCCTTTATGTTTCTGCATGGTGTAGCTCAGGCATGGCCAATAGGCTGAGGGTTGAAAGAATTTGAAAGCCCTGTTCTACCACATGCTAGCCCTGAGATGATGCAGCATCAATGTTAGGGACAGAAAAACTTGAAAAGCGGAAACTAGCAGACCAACTAGGTTTGTGGGTGGAGTTGTAAGTGAATAACCCTCTTTCATACATGATTAACATTTAGTTCGAACGTGAATGGGAGGTGGTCAGTGCATGTAATAAGCGTGAATCCTCTTTAATGCAAATTGTTCAAACCTTCCGACTTCAAACTAACAAAGTACCGTTCTTGTTAAACAATTAACTAACAGAAACTACTCACCGTCTCAATTGTGCAACCAGTTTCCTGAAGTTCCCCTCCCAAGCGTACATTTTCACCAAACGGATCCCAGAAACAATCTCTTTTATTATCTCCAATCTTCTATCAGTTTGTGTGGCAGCTTTAGCGCGAATCCTTCCAGATTTATGACCTGCTAGGGTATTATAGACAATGACTAAGACGAAGAAGAAAACTCCTATCAGAGCTTGCCAGGCTACTAAATACCACAGAAGAATCAAAGCGAGTATTACATCCAGGATTCCAAATGACGCATTGAAAGCATAATGACCCAATTTCTCAGTGACTTGGGCGTCGTTGGAAACAAGATTAATTGTGTTTTCCGAAACGCTGTCTTCTAAGACACATCTGTTAACAGAAATAATCTAAAAAAAGGAAAACAAAAGATACAAAACAGTTTGTTACTTACAGTACCTAGCCTGCGGACACAGACGTATTTGCGGTCGAAGCTTCTCTCGCCCCTCCCCGAGTGTAGAGTATTAACAGCCACAAAGGCAAATAAAACCGAACGCTTTATTCGTTCATCTGCTCTGCTCAACAGCAAGTCAACTCACTCACTCTACGCCCGCTTACACTGTTCAGTTCC